AGGACCACACAGTCTAACATCACTAACTACGGCCCCAGGTCTAAACTCATACGTGTAATACAGCGGAACGATTAACAGCTAGGGAGATGGACTTCAACGAAAACAGGATGGAAACCTTGACTTTTGGTTCTCCTGATAAAAGACCCGGTCTATTAAGTGGTCCAACCGGCTTCACTTCAAGATGGTCAACGCACAAGAGTCCACCGTACTCTATGATATCATGCTTGCCGTTTTACCTATTACTATTAGGTGAACCAGAGTAAATTACCTAAGAGAGAAACTGTGGGACGATAAAAAAAAGTTAGAGGTCAACTACATTGCGGGCCACTGCTCCACGCACAGGGAGAAGCCTACTTTGTCAGAAGGATCAATCCCATGGCACTCGACTCGCTGAGATTCATATGGCCGGTGTACACACATTTTGTGGAGGCAATGGTGAATATTATGGAAACCGACAGGTAGATAGCGTAGTGGATGCAAATGAAATGTATTTTAGAGAATTGTAGATCAAACAGCAGAGAAGAACCAATGAAGTTTCAAATGCGCTACCTGCAGCAATCGTTAGGCTGTCAACTCACTTGCTCGCTTCTGTGATGGATCGAATTTGACTCAAGTATTAAGAGTAAAAATGCTTCAGGCTAGATTCAACTCCGTTCATTCGACGCGTTGCTTCTAATAGGAGTATATTTTTTATTTGAGTACGCTTCAGTTAGAAAAAAAGCTTTAAGATGCCTAAATCACTAAAAAAAAATATACAAAAGACTTCCGCGACTATGTAGACGGCAAATATTCTATCGTCAGTTCAGTGTGACAGGGTAGTAACTAAAATCTTTAAGGTAGGCAATTACACAATAGTCTAACAACAATACCCTAGCATACGACTGACGCGTTACTAGTGTAGGTGCCCTGACTAAAGCGTAATAAAAACACACATGTTTGTCTCGCAATTAGAAATGAAAAGAGGTCCGCACGCCAAATAACTTGTTCATGGACATGAACAACTTCAATTGCTCGCAGTCACCTCCCGTAACTAATCTCAACAGCAGGCGCATTTAGGGCAATCAATTGTAATTGTCGTTTATAAAAACTGTCCTCACCAATACAGATAGTACGATTGTACTATGTGTTCTGTGCAGTCTACCGAG